GTGTAATCACTGTCTAAATTTTTCACCTACACGGCCAAGATTCGAATCCGCCAACCCCATTTCTCCTTTCCCTTACCCCAATTCCCTTTGTTAAAGAAAAAAAGAAAAAAAGAAAAAAACTGGTTAGTTTAGGAACATGAATTTGATGAAATGTATTTGAATTTCAACCTTCTAAATTCAATATCACTATTTGTTTTTATTTAAATAAAAAGTAATTGAATTTTAAAAAAATACATGTATTTCACCTGTGTAATTCAAAAGGCAAAAACTCGTGTATTTTAATTTCACCCTCAAACCCATGAATTTTGATTTCAAATTGAATTTTCTCTGCATTCTCTTCTCTCACTGACGACGATGAAACCTCCATTGTCCGTCCATCTTCTCCTCTACCATTGCTCTCCACTTTCTCATCGTCAGTCACTCACCACTCTGCCAGGATGGAGAAGGAAGGACGATGTGGTCGATACATCACGTAGAGGACTATGTCGGCGATGGAAGCAAGGAGGGCAAGGATGAGGAGAATCAGAATGGACCAAAAGCAACATTGACAGCAAAGGTTGTGCTGGGAGCGGTAGTGGTGGTGGCGGTTGTAGGGAGGAGGGCGGTAGGGAGGCCGGGAGGTGGGATTACAACGATTGGACTTGGTGGGTCCACCGTTGGTGGTTGCAATCGTGGTTCCGGCACCATTCATGGCGGCGGCGGCGGCAGTGGCGATGTTGGTAGGTTTGGTGGAGGGGAAAACTCTGTTCGTCATTGTAATCGGAAAATAAAAAAAAAAAAGAAAAGAAAGAAAGGGTTCAGATTTGCAGGGCAGTGGCTACTGGAAGAGTGAGATTTGAAGACAAAAAAATGAGGCATAGATTTGGCCACCTCACTACAATTGACGAATCTCTTATACTTCTAATTCTACTCTGTAAAAATTTAAGGTAAAATACCAAAATCCACCCCCAAAGTATAGTAGCAGGGACGGATCCACCCTCGAACAAAAAACGGGGACAAATCTACCCACAAAGTTTTCGACTTGGACAAATCACTCCAAATTTAACGTGTGACGTCATTTAACATCAGCAATTCGTTAATTCGTTAACAGATTGCTAACGTCAGATGACGTCAAATTAACAGATTGCTGATGTCAAATGACGTCACACGTTAAATTTAGGGTGATTTGTCTAAATCGAAAACTTTGTGGGTGGATTTGTCCTCGTTTTTTGTTCGAGGGTGGATCCGTCCTGCCACTATACTTTGAGGGTAGATTTGGGTATTCTGCCTAAATTTAATGGAGAAAAAAGTATTTTACACTTAAGAATGTTTTAAGTTTGTATAATTTTAACTAATTAATAAAATAAGCTTTTTTTTGTATTTAATAATTTTTATTTTATAATTTAATAAAATTCAAAAAGTTATTTTTTTTAAAACAAAACAAAATAAAGACAATTAAGGGATAATTATAAGTTGTCCCTCAACTTAGTTCTTGTTTTCAATTTCTTCTTAATATTTTTATTCATGCCAATTAAGACCTTATTGTTGGCAACTTATGTTATATATTATTCCCAATTAAGGCTAAAGTTCTCAATAAAAGTCATCTAAATACTTGGTTTCCCTATGTTTGACTAGTTTACTGTTGATGATATTTGATGCAAGATCTATTCCTTTTCAACTTTCAACCTTAACTCAATGGTTTACTTCGAAGTCTTCAACGAAGAATATCATATTTCTATTTTCATTTTGCAATTAAGAAATGTTATCTCAACTACCTTGTTAATAAATATAGTTATTCGAAGTCTTCAATGAAAAATGTCATATTTTTATTTCGTTTTACAATTAAAAAGTGTTACCTCAATTACCTTGTTAATGGATATAGTTGATAATAATTTTAGATACGATTTTGTTTTTTTATTTTTTATAGTGAAATTCTTTCATAATAAATTCATCTTTGCAAAAATTGAATATTGTATGACAATGAAAAAATGAACAGAAAATGAAAAATATGATAACAAATTGATCAGTGGAGGTCATTGTTTTTTTTTTATCCAATTTGTTTGTCTTGTGGTAATTTAAATAATATTTTAAAAGACTAAAATTGTTAACTTTGAGATAATTAAATTTAAATAATAATATGAAGAAGATTTAATTTAATAAAAAAATTCAATTTTAAATACATAATATTTTAAAATATCCAAATAATATATTTAAAAATACATGTATTTGAAATTCATTTTTTTTAATTCAATCCAAACAATGTATTTTAAAATACATATATTTTAAATACATATATTT